TTCTCAAATCTTAGGTTGATGTCTAATAGCCAACCACTGCCGGTCCGATTGAATGCTCCGCGTGTTCAGTGGTCAGCGGGCAATTCAATATATTGTTGTGAGTAAGGAAAGACATGACCGGTCGAGCACCGGAACTATTTGTTTATTTGATTGAAAATTCATAGAGAATTACATAATCAAAGACGAAAGTCCCAACAGCTAATTAAAGACGACGGTTAAAAGGAAAGTGCCGAACACCAGGCAGCTTCTCGCTTTTCACAGCAATTTTTAGGTGTTGGACAACCGATGCTGTGTTAAAACACACGTCAAACGGATCCAGATTCTAAGCATCAACCCGAACCAAGAGGCACGCGGGTCCGTTGACTCCGTGACCTAACCCTATAAGATAGCTATTTAAAGGCGCTGGTAGGCTGATGCCTATGAGTTAGCTCCGGAATGATCCCACCTGAAGGAACGGACGTTTCAAAGACGATCGAACGGGCTGCTGCGGAACTAGAGGTTAGAATTCCTCACCATTCGAAAGCTACCATGTTCACGATTATCATGAATTTCAAACACCGCTTGCACCCGCTAGAGCAGCCAGTTATACTGTATCATATCGCGTGCCTAAAATTTTCTGGTAACAACGCAGTTTAAACTGAACGCAAACTTAAAACACGCACATACACACATAAGCTGGCTGCGCGGCAGAGGGGATGATTTATTACAAGTGTTTCGAAACCTGTCACGAGTTCCACTTGGCACCCAACAGGCAAATCGCCCACCTGAAGCTAATACGTCTATTTCTTATTTGTCCTCAGCAGTCAAGTAAAACCAACTCCACAACGACGAGATCATAAATTTCGAAACGGAGCCCACGGCTTTTTGGATCAGACTCCAGCATTTGATCAAGTATATCGTAATTTTTGCACCCCCCCCCCGAAAATATTAAAATTCGTATGCGAACGGCGGTTGCCACTACCATCGCAACCGACGTTCTACTTTCAGCTTTTAAATTCTAGTCGAAGGTACTGAGGGATCATGAAGTACTATTTTCGGAACAATGCTTTTTGGACTCGGTTTAAAGTCGATATGCAAAGCAGAGCTAAAACCCATCATTATTAATAGATTAAGAGCAGAATATACTCAGGATTCCAAAAGGCAGGCAGCAGTTTAAAAATACTGAATTATTGTTTAAGGCTACTAACTAGAAGTCTAAATGACTATTTTTTCGTGCTCTGCTTTTCATATTGAGCTTGTTAATTCCCAGAGACCTAAGGGGACAAAGGTGCAGTAGGATTGGCTAAAGGTCTTAAGCAGGCATTCCCATCGAGACGTACGGCTCATGTACTGTTCATTAGTGCATCCTGTAAAATCTTCTACGTTAAAATTCAAATGCCTTTACCTGTATAGCCTATAGAACGTCCCAGAACACATTTATTGTGATGCTTTCGTACAGGACAAAAATAAGCAGTGGTGAAAGTAATAAATAAGCTCTTTTTATCACGCGGCCGCAGTGTTTTGCCCCTCAAGGCTTTCGATACTTTTTCGTACATCTTTTAAGATAGGGATTTGAAAATAATTTCAAACGTTTTTTTATTTTATAGCCGGTTATTATGCTTAATAATACTTTCAAAAGCTGCCGCGAGGTATACCTTCGAAAGGCGATACGGGCATTAATTTTCATATGAATATAAATTTTGAGGATTATTGCCATTTTAGGTGACTGGACACTAATTGCATAAAACAAAAATGACATTTAAGATATTTGATTACTTTATAAATTGCTTCTGGCGTCTCTTTCGTGTATATTAAAATGTGTACACTCACGAAGGAGGCTTTATTGACCTAATTACATTTTCTCTCATTTTGTCCCTGTTTTAAAATTGGCCATTTGGAGATGGTCATATAAATAGAACAATCGTTGATCAAAGGAACTGTGCCGCAGTAGCTAGCAAAACGGGAATGTTCACTGCTGCCATATGTCTCCTGGTCTACCCTGCATAAGCGAACGTTAAGTAGCCTGGTTCTGCTTTTGCTGCTAGGCAACTAATATGTGCAGAATATTTCTAGACGTCTCACAAAATTTTAACCTTTGGCTCAAACCAGAAAACCAAACGTTAGCGGAAATGTGCAAAAGCTGTTTTTCTAGTTTGAACATTAATTTAGAAATTGCGATGTTCGAAATTGCTAAGTTTGGCCTAGTATAGGAAAAAGTTGCTATAAGATTTCGAAAAGTCTTTAGCATTCTTCTTCCTCTATAACAAACCCGCCTTAGAAGTTCTGATCTCATCAACACAACAAGCGATTATGCATTTTTCAAAATGTTGACCATTCTAACACTCTTTTAAGAAGGCTTTAACACAAGAAGTACAAAATATATGATGAGATTCACAAAGTAAAAAAGAAACCAAAATAAGACTGAGTTTATTTTTAAATAAAGTTGGGAATTCAAATTTCCTTTTGAAATATTATGGCCAGTGACGTATTATTTTTATGGAATCATGACAACGGAACCTCCTGATGGCAGTTTAATCCTAAAATTATCTGCCACGTTTGGCGGCACTAATATGTGTTTCTTATGCAAATGCAGCTGTTTCTCAATAAACCCCTTGTGATACCTAGAAGTAAGCCTCTTGTACAAGTTTCGCATTCCAAGGCGTGTGCAATTCAGTCTTAGTGAGTATATGAGCGGATTAAATAGGGAACAAAGATTGGGCAGGTTAGATATGAGGTCATAGACCCAGGAATCGAACCTAAATTGGCAGTCTTGAGGAGAGGAGGAAGAAGAAGAGGAGGGGGACGTACTGCGCGAACGACTTATAATATATATCTCGAAGACAAGGCCTGGTGTGAAGAGGAAGAGAAATAGAACCAGCATGGTTAGAAGTGGACAAAACCTACGCAGAAGCTGACGTTTGGTTCCTTCAGCTAAACTTGACGTCTTTGTTTCGGCTTTCTTGCCATGCAGGGAGAAGACTACTCCACCGAGTTTGTTGACCGTAGGAAGTGAGTGAGATCTGTGCCAGTCTCTGATGTCTTTCACTGCAGGCGTTCTCATTGAAGATTGTTTTTTAAGTCTTAATACGGCCAGTATGCACATTGTGTTCACCAGCACCGTGGACAGAATTAGGATTCCACCCGTAAAGAAACCCGATCTGTACATATTCGCGGCCCCTTGCAGGTAGCAAAATTTCTGAAGCCTGTGCCCGATTATCTTCCTTCGCACAAAGCACTGTTCACTAGGTAGCAGGAAATGACGCCTAAGAGGACTGCAGGGAATAAATGGCTCGTTGTCCTGCACTTTGGGATTATCTTCAAAAACTGGCAAAAAGATTTGATTACTTCCAAACAAGAGTGAAATAATCCATCCGGAAATAAGGTACTTCAGGAGTCGAGGACGTTCAAGGCCTGAGTACTGCAACGAGTGGACTATCCCAAGGTAAAAGTCAATCGCCAGTCCAACAATACTCAGTAGAAGAGCGTTGTAGGCCGTAAACTGGAGGCAAGACAGGAAGAGGTTCATACATGGCCCTTGAATTGTCCTGCGATAATAGTAATCAGTAGAATAACCATTCGCATGAGTCTTTGGCCACAGCGTGGAGATCAGCCGGACACCAGTAGCGGTGGCGTTAAGAAGGTCAGCTATGATAAGAGAGTAGACCAGATAAAGGGGAGTTGTTATGCGAGGTCGAGGTTGAGGAGGGGAACGAAATGACCTTTTCTGTCCGACATTCAGTTGTGATAACCAGTATCTTGACTCCTGTGTCTTTATTTCCATGCCCGCTAAGGGTGGAGAGAGTAAGTTTTCCGGA